TTATATCAAGTCGCGACAAAGTGGCGAGTGCGTGCCACTTCAGGATATGTCCTTTTCCTTTTTTTCCTCGTGTCCTCTTGAAATTAATTCTACCAATTTCTGTCAGTTATTATCAGTTGTCCGGCGAAGACAACTGTCCTTAAGSATATGCGTATGAGTCATCATTTTTGTGAGTTCATAGTACACTAATTACTGTCGCATACTCTATACTCAAATATCACTCAGACGGCGATTAGTGAAGGAACAACTTTTAAAAGTGTCTGCAAACGAGTTTTGCAAAAAAGTTTTAAAATTTTGAGAATCGATTTGTTAATTTTTATAGACTGTACTTTTTATCGGCTGCTAAATATAAACCACTCATAGACCAGTTTGGTCCTTGGCGATACCAGATAGAATTTAGTTGCTTAGTCCAAGAGGAGTACTCATCCTTTAGGATGCCTTCGTTTGTTGCGAATTTTGACAGACTCTGCGGACTCATTATCGATACCTCCACCAGTGTATCATACTGTACAGATCCCAGATGCTTACAGCGTAGTCTTGCTAATGCGGAACAACTGTACGAGAGATGTTCCATTGTTTCTATGGTGCCCTGCACTAGACATTTCCTACAGTCTTCTCGTTTTGTCAGCTTCATCGTGCGGGGATGTGTCGCCACCAGACAGTAACCAATTAGTATTATAGGAATTTTTTGTACCTCCGAACTACCGTTTTGTATATGACTTTTACAGTTTTTCACCATGTAGATCGTTCCATCGCATTTTGATGTTCTTTACCATGCTTCTGTTGAGATCGTCGTAAAGGCTAAGCATGGGTTTCGCAATGTTGATTATGACTATTTCATTATTAACGACTTCGAAGACGGAAAAATTGGGGACGTCGCCAAACCATTTAAAAGCGAAAACTTGTTAAATTCCTACACTACGCGGTCAAATATTGCACCGTCCGATTATTAGTAATTTCGTTCGATGGCACATGGTCTGGCTCAAAAGCAGTTCCACTCACATGACGGGGTCTAAAAATGGCTTCAATCTTTAGTTGAATCACAAGGTGATTCAAGCCTTGCTAGCAAGATTTGTGGCTATCCATGGACAATACTTTAAATAATAAATTTGTAAGCATTTTCTTTCAATAAAATTGTATTTTTTCAAAGAGAGTTGAGACAAGCTTAGTCTATCTTCCTTAAGTCGAAGTGTGGTCATTAATTTGCTTCTGGCATTCATATAATACTTGTCGCGTATTTCACATAGATAAATTTATTGAAATTCGACGAAAGCCAAGCAACCTGTGGTATATTGTACCCCTCTTGTCATTACAACGCTTTGTTTAACCCAATTAAATTAAACAGATATAGGAAAGCTCCTGTGTTAATGTTTGTAGAACAATAGATTCACCAAATTTAATGTCCTGATATTCTGACTCCCTCTTATGATTCCGGGGTTATCTAGCAGTATGTGCTCTGGTATCTTTGCTGTTTGATCACATAAGCGACACAGATCCGTAGAGTGCAGATAACAGCGCAGAATGCAGTGGCCTATATAAAATCTCCCAAGCTCTCTAACATTGTTACTGAGAAAAGCGTATAATTATCTGAACCGTCTGGAACGAACTCTTCTCGCTTGTCGAAGCCCAGGCACGTGTTATACTAGTCCTTTTCTCTTACCTAGACTCCGCTCTTATCGCACTGGTTGTTGCTGCTTCTTCCACAAGGAGATCGCCTAACACATTTCCATTTATGTCTATATGTCCAAGGATCAAGTTAGTAGGAAATTGTTTTTAGTGGTAACCCTGAAAAGTATTTTTATGCACTCCAGAATTCGGTATCATCTGCGAGTGCCGAAATGTAGGCGGATGTATCCCAGTTGTCGCTTAGTGAAAGATCTTGAGGCGTTAACTAAGAATAACAGTAAGCAAACCAGGACAGTATTCAGCAGTTAAGAGAGGTAGAGTCTCATAGACTGATGTCTACATTCAATACAAATTCAGGCTAAAAACCTATAGTTGAATAGCTAATCAGCCTCTATGTATAAGTGGGTAGTCTCATGTCGTAGTAACTGCAGCGACAAATCTATAAGAGTTAATCGAGTTTCGAAAAATCTGCTAGCTCCGGCAGGGTGCACAAAGAGTTTGAAGGTACAGAAATTACAAAAGAGACAAATTTCACTTACGAATTGGTATTGACACGAACGCTTATTTCTACGACTACAATTGCAGCTGAATGCGCTTAAAGGAACCCGAATAAGCAACTAAATTGGATGAAAAATTTTGTAAGATTTGAACAATATCCAAGATTTACCAGGAAGGACACAGGTATGGCGGCGGCTATACGTTATAAGCATATTGAGGATAGCAGTCATTAATCAGGCTGAATATACATTCGAAATCTATTAATAGTGTCGGAAAGGACTTGTTAACTTATTTACTACCTCATCCATGTCAAAGGTCGCCTTTATTATGATTGAAAACTTGGTTAGAGCATCTCTCAGTAGAACTTGGGCGCTTTCAAAAGCATCGCTCTTTTTTTCAAATTTAAATCCTGCTTTGCGATATCGAGACAGTTGAGCAAGAACTTTCCCGCTTGATTGACTAAACTAATTGAGTTGCTAAAATTTGATKAACACATCATCAGTGTACCATATGTTCAATAAAATAAAGTATCAGTGCGAAAAAAGCTCAGCTTCCAAGCAAACTAGCGCTTTCTACACACATACCACAAATATTACTTACATAATCGAATAGCCAACTTCGCTGCCATAAACCTATGCACAACGCGTGGCCCACATGCGCCGTTTTGCTACATTACGCTTACCAGCAGTCCACACATACACGCAGCCTTCATTCCTTCATGGCTGAATGCCCAAAAAATGAGGCATCGAATAAAAAAAGAACACATACAACTGTATCACTAATAACAACAGCAACAATACGCCCGGTAACAAGCAATAACCAGAAGCTTGAGATCGGCGCGCAGCCAACACGCGCACGAAGGACCTCAGCACGCCACACACTCACACCGCTTAACACAGCCAGCAACTAATAAAAATATGTATGAGTAAATAACGCCCGCTAAGAGCACAAGTAGTCAAAGGTCGTTAGTGTGAATAGTGAAAGAAAAAAATGAAAATAAAAAAACAAGTAATAAAAAGTGCGACAAAAAATGTTGATCGCTTGTTCATCACCGATCATCACACATAATTGTGGCACAAGAGTTAATTTTTTCTTTATAAAGTGCTGTGTTAATTTACCATTACAACGCTGTGGTATTGATTTTAAACTTTTGAAACTAAATATATATGCTGATGTGGCACTTAGGCCTTCTGGCATAAAAAAAAAAAAAAATAGACACACATTTTATTACCTTAAAGGCCAACAAAGCACTGTCGAATTGCTTCCCACGATCACAAAGGATCAGCAGTGAGCAGCAGAGACCAGCAAACCATAACACTAAAGCAAATTGATTGGTGCGACATAAGGTATGCAACACTATTAAATTACACGCAGTGGACGCAAATATCCTGACGAACRGCCGATTAAGGAGTAGAGCAGCGCACAACAACAGCAGCAACAAAGCGTGTAGGCAGCATTAACGCTAGCAACAAATGTTCCTTAAGATTAGTCGCCTTTCAGTTTATTTTTATTTTAATTTTTTTTTTAATTTTTTTTTTTTTAATTTTTTTTTTTTTTTTTTTTTTTTTTTTTTTTTTTTTTTTTTTTTTTTTTTTTTTTTTTTTTAAATTCTTTTTCTTTTTTGCCTCCATAACTCCTTTATATGCCACTTTTGCTGTGTAAGCCTTATTTGTATTATTTTCAATTTMTTTCTAAATGCTGCTGCTTCTTCTTCCTTTCTTGTGCGGCAATAAATTGTATTTGTCTTGCCATTGAAGCGTTGAAAATCGAAAATATTCTCCCACGATCGTTTTTCTATATAGACTTTTTCCAATACTCATATTTACTATGTAGAGCGTCAGTCCCGGTGGATCCTTAAGCAAAATGCACACGTGTTCCATAAAATTTCTGTGCGTGCTCATACGAAGTTTATGCACGATTTGCTTTATAAGAAAAAAAAACTACAAAAACAACCTGCTGTTGTTGTTGCACACAAAATTTTATGCCATTAAGTATAAGATAGCAGGACACTTGGGCAGCAGCAGCAACAACAACAACCACCGACACGACCAAAAACGAAAACCAAAAGTGATCATTAAATGGTCCAAGTGCCTCAAACAAAAAATAAAGAAAAAAAAACAACAACGCATGTTTTCATATAACAGAAACTGAAATTAAGGAAAAAAAATCACTAACAAAAACAAAAATTGAAGAAAGAATCGAAAAAAATGCTTGATCCTTAAGGCAAGTAGCAAAAGGATCCGCTTGCAAAAACACGGCTTGCATTCAAAAGTGTGGGAACATGACCGTAGACGAGTTTCACACGATCCCAGTGCCAGGATAAGCAGACTCCGACATGAAATGAAATGAAATGAATTACTTTCATGCCCATTATCCTTATGGCTTATATATACATATAACTACGCGCATTGTCTGTCTGCTGCATCTCCAATTCCCTACAATTCCTTCGCATCCACCTCCTCATCACAACCAGCCACAAACATGTCAACACACAGGTGTGAGTGAGCGCGCCTGCCAGCAGTGCTCTCGCTCTCACCACCGGCTGCAGGTTAAATCTCACACACCAGCACGGYACAGCACAGCACACAGCTCGTCGCTCATCTGTGGCACGTCGAAAACGCACCTGCCATTTTTTATGTACGGATTTTTCAGCTCCTTTTGTCTGCGCACACAGATCCTGCTGGCGTTCCCACACTCTGAAAACCGACTTGTTTATGCGTACTATTGGAATTTTATGTGCGACTCACTTCACTGCTCTCTCTACCCTGTGACCTGCTATGCCATTTCACATATACTTGTTGTTGTGTGCATGCGCCGAGCGATTTTGTATAAAAGGCGCGCCAGCGACAGGACTTAACATCATTCAAGCGATAGCATTCGTACAGTGAGCAACACTAGCAAGTCATACACAGCTCTACCACGTTAAAAGCAAGTCTTTGAGCAAATTTTCCACTACGCACAAATTAAACCGTAAAATAAAACAACAACACAAAATGTACACCACCGAGTATGAGAACAGCGTGAACATGAGCGCCGAGAAGCAACAGAAGAAGGTCAGCTACAGTATTAAGCGTTTGCTGAAGCAACTCTTCAAAACACAACAACAAMARCAAAAGCAACAACAAGAATTGTTGGAGAATTTCGCCAACAGCAAGAAAGCCAACTCATTGGAATCACTCGAATCTYTGGAGAATTCACGCAATGCCGATCTGGAGTCCGTAGCTGAGTGCATCTCGCTCGAATCCTGTGAGAATGTTGCCAATGAACGTTTGGCCGCCTCATGCGATTTGGAAGATTACGAATTTGCCGATATCACCACGGTGCCCGTACATTTCTTACGCACTGCWCATGGTACTTTCTTCTGGACCGCCAACACTGATTTGCCAGCCGATAATGATCTTATCGAACCCTTGTACTGCAGCACYGGCAATCAGATCGCCACCACACAAATGCAAGATCGTTGGGCACAAGCCTAAGCGTTTGTGGCTGATGAGTTATGGAGCGAGCAAGTGTGATACAGCGCCATTGAGGTCTTCCAGGTCCACTACACACACATATTTGGTGGACCATGCTGAGAAACGCAAAGCTTTAATTGTTTGTGATATTTTTGAAAGTACGTACGTATACTATATAAGAAATGGTTAAGAAATTAATGTTTACAAATATTTATACAAAAGAAATAATTATACAATATAACAATGAAAACAGAAACTAAAAACTCTTTTGTGTTATCTTTATGCGGTTTGGTTGGGGATTTCTTACTCTCTGCTTGGTTTTTGTTATCGCATTCTGCTTTTCCTTGTGCTCAAAATTAAAATATCAAGCTGTGTTATTGTTCTCTAAAAATTAAGTACTCGAAAAAATATTTTTCTTAGAAATATGTATATTCTTTGTGGTAGATGTTGAAACATCCGTTATCAAAATCGTAACCAAATGAAATATTAAAAGAATATAAATATCGTCATTTAAAATGCAAAAYAATGTATCATCAAAAAAATCCAAAAAGAGTTTTTTATTGCTTACGTTTCACTACGTCATAATAGATACATATATGTAGCATAAAATGTTTAGCTTCCGCTGTCAGATATAACCATTATATAACCAATATACAATCATTTTATAACCAAAACTCGAATGACTACATATCGTCAACTAAAATGCAAAATAACGTAACATTACTTTTCATAAGTTGACAGGCGAAGCAAAAATGATATAAAAGAAACCACTCATATTGAAACAAAATTTGAGTTTTGGTTATAAATCTAATTTGAAGTCTTTACGGTTATAATATATTTGAAATTATTTAAATAAATTTCTAATGGCTAACGTCCGGCCGACTCATGATTTCAAGCTATTCGAGTCAAACTCGATGTCACTACCGGCACGGTTTCATGATCGACGGTAAACTCGAGCTAAAATGGCAATGCGACCGAGAAAATAATAATCTCTCTTTCCAGTTGTATTATATCAATAATTCTGTGATAGACAGTTCCAACGGAGAATTCTACATATTCATCGACGGGTAAAAGAGTGATATAGTATATGTACTAAGAGCTCTGTAGTAATTTATTCGCAGAAAGTACCTTCAAACTAAAAGACGGTCTGTCAGGCTGAAATTCTGAGCATAATAAAAGCTGTCAACTGGGCACAATGCCTTTAATTTATAACAGACTATACAGCAGTTCCAAGGCAATTGAACATAGAGAAGGTTCAGGTCTTGGAACACAAGTGACTCGTAACATACCACAAAGTTGCTTTGGGGTAGCGTTGGACATACCAAAAAGCTACTACTTCTAAGCGAGGCTTCAAGGGTAGTTTGAAGCAATTGACTCTAGAGAAACAGCTCAGGTCGTAAAACACAAATTGGACAGACCAAAAAGGTTCTACTTCTAAGCAAAAGGTGAGGTGTAGAAGTCATCACAGTGCACCAAACATTAAAATTTCACCTTTAGCAAATCGGAAAAGTGAATAAGGTGGAATGCAGAGCTTGWACAAATGATGATGAGACGCTGGAGCGTTATCTTTGCGAATGCCCATGAGACGGAATAAATTCCATGGCCACTCTATTATGTTTCAACTTAAGAGAGGAAGCAGGAATGAAGATGAATCTGAAGGTTTGCGCTTCCAAACGCGGGACAGTCAAGAAGGAAGTGTTGAGTTTTTTCCACCTTATCTTCTTCCATTCAACTACTGCAGATGACATCTAGTAAGATTCCCAACTTACAGCATAGACGCCAATAGAGCAATGTCCTTTTTAAATCGAACAACTAAGGAGACTCCAGCTTTACTAAGGGCAAAGACATCATTAGATCCAGCGCTGGTCAAGCTTCCGAAAAGCCCAGCTATACAGTAGTAGAGCACAAGAGTATACGGGAGCACCGTTCCGTTCCCATTCTACCGAAAGCGGTTCTAGAATGCCTTTCCTTGCAAGCTCATCAGCTTTGCAATTTTCTGCGATTCCGCTTTAGTTTGGTACCMATACCAGTCTTATCACAAAGACACTCGATAGCATTGCGAGCGAGATTAGATACTCCTCGACCAACCCTGAACGCACTGCTAATGAATTCAAGCCTAGTATCGCCACTCTGCTATCTGAGTAAATGGTCAGTTCTCTGAAGGAGGCTGTACCCCGGAGTAGTAAATCAGASATCTGCGAGGTGTCTTCTGCTGCTTCCTCGGCTTGGAAAACAGGATGTCTAAAGCTGGAGTTGATAGAGAG